GTGTATAATCAAATCTTAACAAAAGCAAACCTTGAGCGTGGCTTACCTTGTTATGTGTCACTCGTAGACGTATACCTACCTGCCATAACATCGCAGTTAGGTTTAGGCCACCAAACCACTTAGTTAAAAATAAATCATGATTTATTTTCAAAGAATGTAAGGCTATTATGTTATGTGGCTCAATTCTAGTTTAATTACCTTGTTATAAAACTCGTTTTCACACAGTCCCCTGTGTGAAAATCCTGTGATCTTTTCTTATGATTGTGTCATGATATATGATTTAGAGTAGCATGTACAACATCATTTTTTATTTTTTTTATTTAGCCTTTATTTATACAGGTGTAGATCTCATTGAGACACAAGGTCTCATTTTCAAGAGAGACCTGTCAGTGGTAACACTACCACACAAAGTTACAGACAGACAGGACACTAAACACAGAGGCAACACTAAAATACAACATGGTAAAAAAAGTAGTCATTAAAATCCATATACAGCAGTCAGATATAGCAGGTGCAAACACCCACAGATGATTTCTCCAGCTTTTTTAAAATGAGTTTAAAATCCGTGATGGGTATCAAAGTGGTCAGCTTAAGTTCCTGCTGAAGTGTGTTCCAGGTCGAGGGGGCAGAGTATGATATGGCTTTTTTCCCAAGCACCGTGCGGACTGAGGGGACGGACAGAGTGATGTAATGTTGAGATCTTAGTCTATAGCTGTACTATTTGTGTGATATGTAAGTGGATATGTAGAGGGGCAGCAGTCCAAGCATAGCGGTATAGATGAGTTTGTACCAATGCAGTGACCTGCGCATTGATAATGATGTCCAGTTGACTAAAGCGTACAGCGTGCAGTGGTGTGTGAGGGGTTTACAGTTGGTTATGAACCTCAGAGCCCCATGGTAAACAGCGTCCAGCAGATGAAGGGAGTGAGCTGAGGCGTTCATGTACACAACATCCCCGTAGTCCAAGAGCGGCAAAAATGTGGCAGCTACAAGCCGTTTCCTCGCACTTGTGGAGAAGCAGGCCTTATTTCTAAAAAAGAATCCCAGCTTTAATTTCAATTTCCTTAAAAGATTGTCAATGTGTGGTTTGAAGCAGAGATTTTCCTCTATGGTGATGCCTAAGTATCTGTAGGTGTTAACAGCTTCAATGGGGTTATGCTGTGCAGACATGATGCAGGGAAGAACAGTTGGTAACTTTTTCTTATTGGAAAACAACATGACTTTTGTCTTATCTGAATTTAACACCAACCTAAGGTGGAACAGATGTGACTGAAAAGTGTCAAAAGCAGACTGCAGACGTTCAAATGCAAGCGCAACAGTGCTAGCACAACAGTACACAACAGTATCATCTGCATATAGATGTACAGACGCATCCATACTTTGACCCACATCATTTATATAAATAGTAAAAAGGGTCGGTCCCAAGACCGAACCTTGAGGAACGCCTCTGGGCACATTAAGAAAGCTTGAGGAGAGACCGCTGAATTTTACACATTGCTTGCGATTTGAAAGATAGTTTGCAAACCAACCAACAGCTTGGTCAGACAGGCCTATATGGGATAACTTCTGGCACAGAATGCCATGGTCCACAGTATCAAATGCCTTGGATAAGTCTATAAAAAGGGCAGCACAGTAGCTCTTTGCGTCCAAGCCTTCAACAATGTCATTCACTACTTTCAAAGCAGCCGTTACTGTACTGTGCTGCTTCCTAAAGCCCGACTGGTGAGGAGATAGAATGTTGTTCAAGCTTAAATATTCTTTGATTTGATCATTCACCAGCCTTTCAAGTACTTTAGCTAAAATAGAGAGCTTGGAAATTGGTCTGTAATTATTCATCACCATGGGATCACCACCTTTCAATAAGGGGAGAACATTTGCAGTTTTCCAAACATCTGGAATGACATTGCTTGTTATAGAAAGATTAAAAACATGACTAAGTGGTTTGGCTATAATATCTGCAGCTAGCCGTAAGAAATAAGGGGGGAGATCGTCCGGACCTGCTGATTTTTTGGGGTCTAGGCCCTTTAGAGCCTTACAAACCTCCCCAACATTGAAGGGGTTGAAGGAGAAAGTGTGGCTACTAGTGGCATGACTGGTGGTGATGGAGGGAGATGATTTACCAAAAGATAATGTGTCAAACAAGGAACTGGAGGCAATAAAATGTTTATTAAAACAATTAAGCATCTCTGTCTTATTTGACACAGGGGTGGAGTCAACAACAATGTTAGGAGGCAGCTCTAAGGAGCGAGAGCTGGCAGAGAGGGATTTTATGGTATGCCAAAATTTCCTAGGATCGTTTAAACTGTCTGTGGTCTGGGATAAGTAAAAATCGCTTTTGGCTTTTTTAATGGAAGCAGTACAGCGATTACGCAGTTGACGAAAAAGAAGCCAGTCAGCCTCAGAACCTGTCTTCCTCGCAGCAGCCCAAAGGAGATTCCTCTTGCGTAAGAGGGCTGCCAGATCAGAAGTGAACCAGGGGTTATCACGGCCCTTCACCCTGAACCGGCGAAACGGAGCATGTTTATCTAAAAAATAACTAAAACTGTACAAGATACAGTATGTTCATCCTATAATAGTTCTGCAGGGAGCCTTGCAGCTACATGATTGCATGCAATTAGAGAGAACCATGCTATACTTGCCTCACTTATGGACGCAAATAATATGGGATCATGAAGATTTGCAACAATCGAACAGGTAGAAAAGGACTGGCAATGTGCAAAGGCATATGAAAATTGAACTTTACAGAATCAGAACATGACAATATGTATAAATATGCATGAAAGGGGACTTCCAAGCAAGCAATGCTGCGTATGTTAACTCACTGTAGGAAAAACCTAATCGTTGGAATTGATGATCACAATGTCTGACATTAAATGTGGCTGGCTGAATGCAAAACTGCAAATGCACTGTGGGACTGTGCCAAATCTGTACTTTTTATTGTTTTGTGGATGACGGGATGTTCAACAGAAGCCCTGAGTTTCCTGTCAAATGTTTGACATCTGTTAGATGCCTGATGGTTTCTAGCTTTAAATGAAAGGGCCGCTGGCACTGGCAATTTTCCCCTGCTCTGCAACTCAGACAGTCACAGTGCTATTTTATCAGTTTGAGACATTCATGAAATGTTCAACTGGGTACATTTTGTTTATTTATTTTCTTTTGAGAACAATGTTTCATTCCGTACTTAACTAGTTCAATAGCGGCATGGGTATGAACATATACAGCCCATTTCTTGGTGAGTTGAATAAAAAGCAGCTGGGGGAGGTGAGAAAAGCTTGAAGAAAACTTGTATTTATTTTAAACACACCACAGATAAACTAAAGTATTGAATCCACATCAGTCTGGAAACAAACTCTCCACACACAGCTTGCAAAATCAAAATGTCAAACCTACAGGTGCGCAGGCGGGATATGTATGTAACCTTTCACAGAGTGTTTAAAGAATAACATCCCTATAGGAATGGGTTTTGTCAATTTGCTGCTCGTTTTTCATTTACTTGAACTACTGTGGGGTTCACTGATAAAAAAGTTTCATTTTCACAGGGTGCGCTAGGTGAATTGTATAGCTTCAGTGGTGAAACAGAGTATCCAGCGTGAGGCATGAGTCAGCAGTCTATTGAACGCAAGCGGCAATAAAGAAGAACAAAACAAGGTTAGTAGAAGCAGCTGTAATGTTGTAGCCCAATAAAGCAGTGATTGGCATTCTTGCAAACATGCATCTTCTCCATAAGCAGGGGCGGAGCTTCCTACAGGCGGTATAGGCGGTTGCCTAGAGCGCCACCCAGAGGGGGGCGCCAAAAATTGCAAAATTGCTTGGCGCAGTTTTGGCGCCCACCTCTATATCTGCAACATTATACAAAAAAATTCTAACATAAGGGAAAATGAGCCAACAATCTAAAACGGTCGGTCGGTCTAACGGCCCGTCCACACAGCGGCGTGCGTTGAAGCTTCCAACGCTTCTGCCCATTCACTTTGAATGGGGTGACATCACTTTTAGCCGAACTGCATCGTGGGAAGCGACGCGGAGCGTTGCTGGCGTGGCTCGCTGCAAAAGTTGAGCAATGTTCAACTTATGACGCCTCGGCAGAAGCGTCAGCCAATCGAATCATATGCCAGTACAAGCTCTAGCCAATCAAACCGCTGCTTGTGTGTCAGGGGCGGGAGATTCATGTGATTGGTTGTTGGTCGAGTGTCAGACACACCCGCCGGCAAGCGTCAACGCACGCCGCTGTGTGGACGGGCCGTAAGAGCCTCGGCTTTAGGTGTTCACAGTCAGAACATGCTAGAGCGCTGTGCATTGATGGCTATCAGTCAAGTGTTTATAAAATTGAGCGTTGAGGAAAGAAAGACTAACGTTAGAGAACTATGACGAGGCAAAAGCCATCCGGGGCGCAGTATAAAAACTGAAGAAATGAAGAAGAAGAGAAACGTGCCAAGGTGAAAGGTATGCAATTTTGATTGTATTATCAACATTGGCGAATGGATCATGTAATCTTGCTAGTTAGCCAAGCCAACGTTAGCTAGCCAGCGTTTGTTATTGCCATTCAGTCTAAACTGTCATAAGGCTATTTTCGTTGTGTCATGAAATAGAAATATTAGTAATAATAACAATGTTTGTTTTGGTGTAGCGAGCTAGTGTGAGCTAGCGAGCTGTGTGGTGGAATGTTAGTTAGTTGGTAACGTTAGCTAACGTTAAGTTTACCTCAAAAAGCACATTGACTATCCGAGTCAAACATTTGCCAAATTCAACCCTGTCATAGTGTGCGCTATCGTTAGCTAACTAGCTCAGTGGTTCTCAACTCCAGTCCTGTTGAATGTTTTCGTTCCAACCCAGAACTAACACACCTGATTCAACTGTTCTAATAAGATAGGCATAGCTCTTGATTAGTTGAATCAGACCTGTCAGGCTGTCCAAATGCTTACTAACTAAATAATAGCTACATTTAACAAATGGAAATTATTCAATGTTGATAATACACATTTTATTATATCATTTTAGATTCACTTTTAAAATATCTGGGACCACCTGCTGCATCAGTTGACAAGGAACAGCCATGCAGCTCAGCTGTGCCGGCTTCCTCAGGTGAGTGCAATGTGTCAATAGATGTTCCTGATGATAAATAATTTAATGTGAAATCCAGTCAATATATTTGCTCTTGTGTGTTCTTTCTATATTTATAGACCTAGAACCACATGAAGGAATGTCAGAACAGCAAGCTGCTCATCCTGATGAGATGACCACTGATTCCACCCTGCCACTGACCACTGTGCCTGTTTGTTCTGGTGAGTACAATATGTCAATAGATGTTCCTGATGTGATGATAAATAATTGAATGTAAAAATGACTGTTGTGCCATTTCTAATCCAGCCAATATATTTGCTCTTGTGTGTTCTCTATATATGTATAGGCCCAGAACCACTGCAAGGAACGTCAGACCAGCCTGCTGCATCTCATCCTGATTGCACCACAGATTCCACCCATACACTCTTCTCAGGTGTGTGCCGGATGAATGTAAAGATGTTTAGCTATAAACCTAATTGTCCTCATGCTTTCAAATAATTGCTTTCTGTTTTTATTTACATTTTACACACTGTCCCAACTTTTTTGGAATTGGGGTTGTGTGTGTGTGTGTGTGTGTGTGTGTGTGTGTGTGTGTGTGTGTGTGTGTGTGTGTGTGTGTGTGTGTGTGTGTGTGTGTGTGTGTGTGTGTGTGTGTGTGTGTGTGTGTGTGTGTGTGTGTGTGTGTGTGTGTGTGTGTGTGTGAAGATATTGTGAATATGAGGTGAGAAAATGTGCTTCACATGCCCTCCAGATGCAGCAAAGACAGACGATCCACTGCCAACCGATCCTGCTGACTGCCCTTCACATCTCACAGACACAATGAGGACAGAGTTTGTTCAGAGAGGACCATATCAGATAACACCTGATTTCATTTTCCCAAGGAGAGATGATGGGAGAAGTTGCCACCACCAGTACTTCAGCAGGACCTTAGTAAATGGAGAAAGGATCAAAAGAAAATGGGTGACATATTCAAAAAAGAAGAACAGTCTTTTTTGTTTTTGTTGTCAACTTTTCTCTCCAAAACAAATTCATTTGACAAATGCAGGACTGTCGGATTGGAAAAATGCAAGTGCTGCTTTGACCAGCCATGAAAATAGTCCGGAACACCTGAACAATTTGGCGTCATGGAAAGAATTGGCAGTTCGATTAAAACAAAGTACAACAATAGACAAACAAGAGCAGGCCCTCCTTGAGGCAGAGAAGAGTCGGTGGAGAGCAGTGTTGACACGACTGGTTGCTATTGTAGTCACTGGCAGGGCGAAATATGGCATTGAGAGGAAAGATAGAAATACTCCACTCTCCTTCAAATGGAAACTTTTTGAAAGAGGTTGAGCTTTTGGCGCAGTTTGACCCAGTGATGAAAGACCACACTAACAAGATGAAAAGTCAAACATCCCACCACAGCTACTTGGGCAAAACCATTCAGAATGAGTTGATTGAATGCATCAGTGGAAAGATTCTATCTACAATAGTGCAAGAAATAAAGAAATGCAAGTACTTTTCCCTCAGTTTAGATTGCACCCCGGATGTTAGCCACACTGAACAGCTGTCAGTAGTCATCAGAATTGTGACACTGGAAGAAGACCCCCAGATTAAAGAACACTTCATGGGATTCCTAGTAGCAGAGCAGTCCACTGGTGAAAGTTTGTCCGCCCTGATTTTGAAGAGGCTGGAGGAGTTGCAGATTGCCTTTAATGACTGCAGAGGACAGTCATATGACAACGGCGCAAATATGAGAGGGAAGAACAAGGGAGTACAGGCCAGGCTACTGCAGTTGAACCCAGAGCTTTGTTTGTGCCTTGTGGGGCACATACACTCAATTTGGTCATTGCTGATGCTGCCAAAAGCTCCAAAGATGCCATATCATTTTTTGGCATTGTGCAGAAGCTATACTGCCTGTTTTCTGCCTCTAAACAGAGATGGGCCATCCTCAAGAAACACGTCAACCTTTCACTCAAAATGTGGTCAGAAACCAGGTGGGAGAGCAGAGTGAAAGCTGTGGAGCCTCTGCGATATGAAGCCGCAGCTGTGAGAGAGGCACTGCTTGAGGTGAGAAACCAGGCCAAAGACCCAATCATCAGGATTGAAGCCCAGTCTCTGGCAGAAGAAGTGGGATCATTCCGCTTTTCACTGTGCACAGTGGTCTGGTATGATGTGTTAAGTCAAATTCAGCAGGTGAGCAAACTCCTGCAGTCCCAAACAATGCAACTGAATGTAGCAGTAAGTCTACTGAAAAAGACTGAAAAAACTCTCGAATCCTACAGAGCCACAGGCTTTGTGGCTGCACAAACATCAGCCAAGGACATGTGTGAAGACATGAATGTGGACGCAGTCCTTGTTCAAAAGCGGCTGAAGTTAACAAAGAGGCACTTCTCATATGAGTCTCCTGATGAGCCATTGAGGGATGCCTTGCAAAATCTGGAGGTAACGTTCTTTAACGTGGTGGTGGATGCTGCAGTGTCAGCACAAAAGGAGAGGTTTACCACACTTAAACATGTGCAAGACAAGTTTGGCATTCTGTACAACTTCCCAGACCTGCCACACCAAGAGCTGATGAAGCAAGCAGAGGCACTTGCACACACCTTAAGCCATGGAGCGCAATCTGATTTGGATGGGAAGGAGCTGGCTCAGGAGTTGGAAAATGTACCTGACTTGCCATCAAAGAACATGACAACTCTTGAGTTGTTGAAATTCATACACACAAAGCAGCTCACCGAAATATATCCCAACTTGTGTATTGCTCTGCGATAATTAATTTTTCCAAATTAAAACTCTTGAAAACATACCTGAGGTCAACCATGGCTCAAGAACGCCTCAGTGGTCTGGCTGTAATCAGTATTAACCATGAGGTTGGTGGATTGCACTGTAAATGGAAACCAGTAGGAGCTAATAGGCTAACCTTGTGTGATGATAGGGAGTGGAATGTAAATAGTTATTGAGACAAAGTGAATTTGTAATTTTTATTTATTTGTTTGTTTATTTAGCATATTATATTTTGATTATTTGACATGTGTAACATATTTTACAATACATAATTTTTAGGGCTGTCAAGTTAACGCGTTAATAACGCGTTAACGCAAACAAAAATTAACGCCACTAATTATTTTAACGCGATTAACGCATGTGTATTTTTTTTCCTCGGCCGCCCCGTAGTTTCAGAGCGCATCGAGTTTAAAATACCGTCTACAAGCTGATGCTGACAGCCCCGCTCCTGCCGCCCGCTTGTGGCAGACCACACTTCCACGCTCACCGGCAGGCACCGACTGGCTATTGGGAGGACCGGGAGTGTGTGTGTATGTGTGGCCCGAGCGAGCGAGAGAGGGACCTTACGTGCAACTGCATTATTGTTGTTAGCATCTGGTGCTAGCTAGCTGCGCTAACGGATATAAGGAGCTGTTTAAATGAAAACATTTCGCCACAACTGCGCCGAGCACTTGACTTTATGCAGGAAGCCAGACAGTGGGACACTGTACGAAAAGTCAGCACACTCAGCACGGATAGTGTGCGCAACATGATTGCAGCATCCAGGCAGCTCCCGTTCGAGCATACGCCTTGAGTTGCACATAGCTCCAACGATCACACACACACACACACACACACACACACACCACACACACACACACACACACACACACACACACACACACACACACACACACCATTTGTATTGTATTATTGAATGAGAGAGGTTCCAGGTTGAATTGAGGCGAATATTTGTAATGTTCAGAGGTTGTTGTGTTTAATATTCATGAGAATATTTGTCATTGTTCAAATGATAATAAACATTGGCATAAAGCATATTTGTCCACTCATATGTTGATAAGAGTATTAAAAACTTGAAAAATATTCCTCTAAGGTACATTTAGAACAGATAAAAAATGTGCGATTAATTTGCGATTAATCGCGATTAAATATTTTAATCGACTGACAGCCCTAGTTTTTATATAAATGGATCAGGACAAAAAGTGAGCGAATCTTTTTTCCTGAAACTTTCAGAGTCTCTTTACACAGAGGGGACACAGTCATGTTTATGTACAAAAGACATGAAAAAGAGACTAAAATGTTACTATTAACTTTTATGAACTGAAAACACACTTTGAACATCAGAATTGACGTAACGCTGTTGTAAGGACTTGTCAATCAAAGGGTAGCTTCTTTCTACTATGTACGCTGTTTTATCATCTATTTTGCTCTAAATGGGACCATCATTGACAAATTCAGATCATGCTGTTTTGAAGAATAATTCAAACCAGCAAATGAGACCCTAAACTTAACAAAAAAATCCGTGAGACGTGGGGTCATTTTCTCATAGACTTCGGTACAATCTGAATTGTAGTTTCACCCCTCTGCTGGCTGTTAAAGAGAATGCAAGTTTAAAGCAATTCCACATTGGCTTCCTTTTTAATACCCAGAGGTTGGTCTCACTGCTAATTGCTCGCTATGACCAGCTTGTCGTTAACTGTGTGACTCTCTCTCTCTCTCTCTCTCTCTCTCTCTCTCTCTCTCTCTCTCTCTCTCTCTCTCTCTCTCTCTCTCTCTCTCTCTCTCTCTCTCGTGATGCTGACCAGGTAGTTGTATAATGGGTATTACATTATTTACACTACATCTATATTCTTGGGAGTTTATTGTGTTCCTGGAATCATATATAGGTATCACATTTGCCCCCATGCTGTTGACTTCTAGTGTTGGCTTGTAAACACATTTGATGATTATGTAACAGGTAGAACACAGATACAAGTTACCACATACAAATTGTATACAAATAGTTCAAGATGTTTTTAAGGTATGACATGAAAACCGAAAATTGTTGCAATTGCCGTCGGTCTCCCCTACAGTATGTTTTTTTGATGAAAAATAGCTGCCTGTTGCGTCTGGAAACATGGTGAGGATGAATGAAAACAGAAACGTTGCGGGCTACAAAACAATGAGCAGAGAGATGCTAGAAAGCTAAGAGGAACTGAGAAGTGGGGTCATGATTTTGTGGGATTTGATACTTCAAGTTACCCCATTTCAATACCTATTAATCCATGTTGATGTAGCTATATTTATTATAGCAGATACAACCAACCTAACAATATATAATATGATACCTACTATCCTTCACACATAGAAGGAACACATGTTAAGCAGGGTGTTTGTAACCCAGGGCTTATGTGAGTTCCATCTCCAGAATATGAATAGGTTCATAGAAAACATTATTTTTATTCAGAAACATTGCCTCTGGTTGAAAGACAGGATTAGTAACACTGTGGTTGGTCTCCTCTGAGTATATGCTTAATAATCAATCACACACTCAATTGGTCACAATAAGCATTGGTCTATTTACTTCAGAAATGAGTATCTGATCTTTTTAGCTGCTCTGCACTCCAACTATTGACCAGATGTCCATCTATTCATCATCGATCTCACACACACACACCGCGTGTTTCCAAC